TAATGATAGGGGATGCCACGTGTTAGTTGCTAGTTGGTCCCATTAGGACAACTCTTGGGTTGACACGTGTCTTCTGATTTGTCTTCGTAGTTAGGGTATTTTTACCTTAATCAGTATGCACATTTAAGAAAAGTGTAGATACTTGAGATTAAATTTCATGTTTCAATTTCAATTTATTTTGAGATTGAACATAGTAAAATAACAAATTGAAAGATTTCGTTGAAATTGTTTGTTTGGATTGTTTAATCAATTATATATGCTTCTAACAAGCACGCAGGTTTATACTTCCTCTGTCCCACAGTACAGTTTCTATTTTCCTATTTTGGAGACCCAAAATGTTGTTCATGTTTCTATTTTTGGATAGTATGTAAAGACCATTATACCCTCATTTTTTTAATTTTATTCATTGAACTTCTTAATTTACCCTTAACTTATCCACTTGCATTGTACTTTTTTCCACTTTCTCTCTTTAATTTTTGTTTATAATTGTACTTTTCACTTTTTTCTCCTTAAATTATCCACTTGCCTTGTACTTTTGTTTAACTTTTGTCTAACTTTTTTCCACTTTTAATGTATTTCTCCCACTTCTCCTCCCATTTCTTAAATACCGTGAAAAAAACACAATAGGAACTATATTATGAGACGGAAGGAGTATATAAAATAGATGAATTTTTGAAACTTATCGCGTGTTCAGTTATATTTTATACTACGTATTTGTTACATCTTGCATTTGTATTTACTTAGCAATTTTCTAATTTATATTTTGCCTCTATTCTTTACATCTTAATTTTACTTATTTTAGATTTCATAAGATTAGATAGATTAAATAAGATATGATAATGGCTAATAAGTTCAAGTAACATAATATAAGGGTTAATTATATTAGCATTGATAAGTTTATAGCTAGCAACACAAGAAAATATTAAGATAATGTCCTAGACTATTAACATAGACTTTCTAATTTATAGTATTAATACTATTAAAGACCACAAAGTACAATTGGTAATAACTCTTAAGTGCTTTTACAATTATATTTTATAAATTAAAGTATCAACTGGCCCTAAATTTATATTTTATAAATTAAATTAAAGTATCAACCGATCTTATAGTTATTTAATGTAGGCTTCACCCCTGAATATGTACTCTATTAATTCTATCCGAGTTGACTCTTACGTTATTAATTCCTAAAGTTGGTCTGGCCCGAAATTGGGTGGTTTTGGGTAGAATTTTCCGGTCCAAAAATTGGGCCGAACCCTTTTTTTTTTTTACCGCGTACTTGGGCATGCGTTATTATGTATTTTTAGTTAATTTTTTTTTGCCCGGCTAGACAAACAGTGGCGGACTTGGGCTTAGACCTGGTGGGTCAAGTGACTCACCAGGCCCAAAAAAAAAATTTTAAGTTATTTAAAAAAAAAAAAAAAAATAAAATAAATTAAAATCAGTTACAGGAGACTTCAAGGCTTTCAAGCCCTAGCCTCTTCGTGCTCTGGCTTCTCCTTCTCCGCCTAATCGCCTCCATTCTTCTCTTCGTGAATCGTGACTTCTCCTTCTCCGCCTAATCGCCTCCATTCTTCTCTTCGTGAATCGTGAGTCGTGACTTCGCCTTCTCCGCCTAATCGCCTCCATTGTTAATCGCCTCATCTCCATTCTTCTGACTTCTGTTCGTGACTTCGCGTGACTTCGCCTCTTCGCTCATCTCCATTCTTCTCTTCGTGACTTCGCCTCTTCGCTTCGCCAGGCAGCCACCGTTCTCTTCGCCTAATCGCCTGGTAGTCGGACGTCGGTGACTCGGTGGTCGTGACTCGTGGACTCCGTCCTCTTCGTGAAATCACTACTCGAAACGTCGGTGCTAGTAAGTTGATTTCTAATTTTTATTTTTAATTTCTAATCTTCAAATTAATTCAGTCTAATTTGTTAATTTTATTAAACTTTGGTTTAAACTTTGGTAATTTGGTTGATTTGTTATTTTACTGTTGGGCGTTGGCTGTGCTGCTGATTGCTGAATGCTGAATTGGCGAATTGCTTAAAGTCGAGTGATCTACTTACTCCTATTTTGAATATCTTTCAGTGGCTTAGCTGCTTTTATTCTTTCCTATTCATTATGCTGTCTTTTATTGCATCGGCCCGTTCATAATCGAGCTATTAAAGACTATTGATCTTTGTTATTGTTGTAACAACTGATTTGCTAAGCTGGATGATGAAATGTGGTTGTCTGATGTGGTTATTGCTGTGATTACACTCCTGCAGTCCTGCTCCTGTGATCAGGAGAAACCCTGTTGCCTGTTTCTATCTACAATCTACTTGCTCATATTTGTATTTTATGCTTTGAGGATGTCACTGCAGAACTCAGTGGGTATCATCTTATCAAATGATCATAAATTATCAATTTATCAGCCTTCTTGGTTAGATCTTGCTATTATCTGGTATCCACATTTTTGTACGAGATTTCTCTTATTCGAGCCAATTTAAGCTGCCATAAATCATGCTATTCATTTTAGAGATAAAGGGGAAGAGAGTTTAATGTTTACTATCTAGATTCCCCAACCAATTTAGCTTCAGGATAGCTAGAATATCACTGGTAATATGTTTGTGGATGGTGACCTTAAGTATGTAGGTTTTTAAGTAAAGTCTTGATTCATGTTTGCACTTTTTACATCATATTTTATCATATATACTGTAAATTGGTCTTTTCTCAGAACAGTTATTACAGCTATCCACAAACCTTAGAGTTAACTTTTTTGTCTTGTGTTGCTCAACTGGAAGTTTTGTTTTGCTAGGCATTGAAGCAAGAGGTTTTATCTTTGGTCCCCCTATTGCCTTGGCTATCGGAGCAAAGTTTGTGCCATTGAGAAAGCCAAGAAAGTTGCCCGGTACTTACTCCCAAGCAAGGTAGGTAATCAACTAATCATCAATTGATTTTTTTTATGAAATCTGTTTTGTGTAATTGTGTTTTGTGTAATTGTGTTTTGTGTAATTGAAATCTCTTGAACTTATTAGTTATTACTTATGTGAAATCTGTTTTGTGTAATTGTGTTTTGTGTAATTGTGTTTTGTGTAATTGAAATCTCTTAAACTTATTAGTTATTACTTATGTGAAATCTGTTTTGTGTAATTGTGTTTTGTGTAATATGTTTATGTGATTATGTCATTATGTGAAATTGATTGATTTAGACCATTTAGTTGAATATTTATTCAAATAATTTTTCTGGGGAATATTGCTTGATTTAGTTCAATATTTATTCAAATTTCAGAATGAAGAGAAAACATACTCCAAATGAAATGCAAAACATTACTAGCTTCTTTGCTAAAAAAAATCCTACTCCAACTTCTCTTCCACATCCAACACAAAATGAACAAACTATAACTCCACCTCAACAAAGTGAGCAACTTTCATCTCCATCTCATTATTCAACTCAAAATTCCCCTCAAAATGAACAAGGCCAATGTTCTCCTAATGCCCCAATCTTTGGAGAAAGATTAAGTGAACATGAATTTGCTAATCTTCCACAAGATCCAGGAAAGAGGAGAAAAATGAGTCAATTTCATAAAGATGATAGAGATTTAGTGAGAAGAATTTACATTCAAAGAAAGCCTTGTCAGCCCAAAGACTTTACATTTCCTCAAACTTCTATTTTTGGCAAAAATCGTCGCTTTTGTGCTAAGTGGTTTGATACTTGGACTTGGCTTGAGTATAGTGTGGAAAAGGATGCTGCCTATTGTTTCCCTTGTTATCTATTCAAGGATGAAAATGCCTTTGGAGGTGATGCTTTTGTTAGTGATGGTTTCAAATCATGGAATCGATCGGATTTAATAAGAAAACATGTCGGTAAACACTTGAGTGCACATAATAATGCTGTTTTAGCTATGGATTTGTTCAAGAAACAAAATTCAAGCATCACACAAGCCTTAACAAAACAAACCGCTGAGAGTACAAATGCATATAGGACGCGACTTGAAGCTTCAATTGAATCTATCCAATGGCTTTTACTCCAAGGGTTGCCTTTCCGTGGTCATGATGAAAAAGAAAGTTCCTTAAGAAGAGGTAACTTTCTTTCACTTTTATCCCTTATTTCCAAAGGTAATCCTGAATATTCTAAAGTTGTTTTCAAAAATGCTCCTAGTAATTGTCAACTTACTTCTCCTAAAGTCCAAAAAGATATCATAAATGCATGTGCAAAAGAGACCACTAAAGCAATGCTTGAAGATATTGATGGTGGTTTATTTTCTATCCTTGCTGATGAGTCCGCTGATGTTTCTGACAAGGAACAATTGGCTCTTTGTTTGAGATATGTTAATAGAAAGGGAGAAGTGTGTGAGCGTTTACTTGGTATTGTGCATGTTGTAAACACTGCTTCTTTGACTCTCAAAACTGCTATTGAATCCTTATTAATGGAGCATTCTTTGTCTTTCTCTCAAGTACGGGGTCAGGGTTATGATGGGGCAAGTAATATGCAAGGTTCTATTAATGGCCTTAGGACTCTTATAGAGAATGAGTGTAAAGAAACTTATTTTGTCCACTGCTTTGCTCACCAACTTCAATTAACTCAAGTTGCACTTGCTAAAAAGAATTCAGATTGTGCTTGGTTATTTGTTGATGTACTTGCACCTCTCTTGAATTTTGTGGGGGGTTCACCAAAAAGGAAAGAGTTTCTTCGTGAAAATCAAGCTCAAAGAGTGGTGGATGCATTGTCTCTAGGTGAACTTGAAACGGGTTCAGGTTTAAATCAAGAACGTGGATTAGGTAGACCTTGTGATACTCGTTGGGGATCTCACTTCAAGACAATCTTGAATGTACTTGATTTATTCCCTGTAATCCTTGGTTCTCTTGAGGATATTGCAAAAGTATCTGATACAATAGATTCTAATAGAGCTCAAACACTTACAAATCTTCTGATGTCCTTTATTTTGTGTTCGTGTTACACTTGATGGTTAGTATATTTGCGATAACAAATGCTTTGAATGTGGCCTTACAAAAGCACGATCAAGACATTGTGAATGCAATGGCCATGGTTAATGTAACCAAGACTAATTTGCAAAAAATGAGAGATGAAGGATGGGATTCTCATATGGAAAAGGTAATTTCTTTTATTGGTGACTATGACATTGCAGTTCCAGATATGGAGGCTAAATATGTTGTTCCCGGGAGGAGGTTGTTTAGAGGTAAATGCCCACAAGTGTCCAATCTACATCATTTTCGAGTTGAAGTTTTTTTTGGTGTCATTGATCTTCAATTGCAAGAACTTGAAAATCGATTTCCCGAAATAACTAAAGAACTACTTGTGTGTATGTCTTGTTTGAGTCCTGTGGATCGTTTTTCTAAGTTTGATAAGGAAAAATTGATTAAGCTTGCAAAATTCTATCCTAATGAATTTCCAAGTTCAGAATTGATAGTCTTTGGTCATACACTTGATAGTTACATTTGTTCTGTTAGAGGAGATGAAAGGTTTTGGAATTTGAAGGGTCTTAGTGATCTTTCAATCAAATTGGTTGAAACGGGATTGTCTGAAACTCATGATAGGGTCTATTTACTTTTGAAATTGGTGTTGCTTCTTCCTGTCGCAACGGCAAGTGTGGAAAGAGTATTTTCTGGCATGAAGCAAGTGAAAGACAAACTACGAAATAGCATGGGAGATCAAATGTTGAATGATTGTTTAATTACTTATTTGGAGAATGATTTGTTTTTGAATGTTAGCATGGAAGATATCATGAATCGATATCAAAACATGAAAACTCGTCGAGAACTATTTTAATAAGTTTGCATTACTATTTAGTTGTCTTTTGTAGTATTATATGAACATTTGGTTGTATTTTGTACTGTTTGAATATTTGGATGTATTTTTTAGTACTATTATTTGGTTGTTTGGTAAAAAATTTTTTTTTACATATTTGATTATCGATTGTGACTCACCAGTCGGAAAATTCTGGGTCCGCCACTGTAGACAAACGGGCTGTTTTTGGCCCGGCCCGGACCAAACCCAGCCTGACCGCTTTTTGATCAGGTCTATTAATTCCCCTTGTCTACCAAAAAAAAAATAAAAAAATTACTGAGTACGTGCGAAAGCAAAGCGGATGATGAGATAGAAAACAAGAGAGAGAATTTTTAAAAATGAAATGAAATGACTAGTCGTAGACAAGGCATCAAAGAATTGGCATGTGTGGTGACCCTTGATCTGACCTTTCATGGGTCACCCATTCTTCTCATTTTTATGTTTTTTTTTACCCTACGTACCTTTTTTTCGTTTTCATTCAACCATGCAGTTTGCCTACTCTTATTTGCTTCACCATCATCAACAATTTATGACAGTTGGATCTGTTTCTGATCTTCTGCTTATTTTTAGTTGTTGTTTAATTAAGTACCGTGCATGGCCCCTCCAACACCAACGTGTCAATTTCACACACGTGTCCTTTAACATGATTGGGCGTATTTTTTTGTTTTTTAAGAAGGCGTTATTTAATTACTAGATTACCCCTACTAATTTTATTGTTTGATTCGCTTTGAAATTCATCCATTGTCTAAATAATTTTAGTTAAGTAAAAATTAAATCCTGTAAAAGAAAATGCACCTGTAGTACGAGCTAATTCTCATTATTCTCATATACTCAGACTCTATATATTGAATACTGAGCACCACTTTGAATACTGTACTCTCAAAGTCTCGAGTAAAACTGTATGCACTTTATCCGATCCCTAATTAAAAATATTATAACCGCCTGAGATTAAAGGATAGCTTATGTGATTAGAGCTTTCCTCCAATTCAGGAGATCTTGAGACAATTGATTTTCATAACCTATCCTTGTGGCTTTTTAAATAAATAAATTAATTAAAAAAAAACTCATTGACGACAACCCATAGAGGCAACAAAACAAATTGACAACAAATTCTTGTAAGTGATAAGAGTAACGATAGGAAATTAGGAATGTTGGATTGTGACCATATTTTGTACTAGAAATCAGAAAAATAATGGAATGGTAATGATAGTAATGAAAAACAAAACAGGATAAACTACAAAAGTAAGCAAATACTATAAGGCTGAACAAGTAAAGTAACCTCAGAAAAAAAAAATGAATGAAACAAAAAAAAAAAAAAAAATTTAAAAATGGTTGAGAGTGAGACTAAGCATTAAGACTGGGACTGCAACTGAAACTGCTGCCCTATTTATGTTGTCTTTTTATTTGTATGTCGTCTGAATTTATCTGGGAGGGTAACGTGAGTAGGAGCTGCTTGTTAAATTTTTGGAAATGGGCACTGATTTCCACGTGCCGTATCATCACTGACACTTTGCCATTGCTCCCTTCCATATAGGACCTTTCTTTCTGCTTTTTATTTATTTATTCTATTTACCATAATCTAATTCATAATCTCTTTGCTCCTCGCTACTTTAGGCGTACTGTTCTTTAGAGTTGTTCTGATGAAATCTGTTTTGTTTTGTTTTATTTTGCTGAAATCTGCTCTGTTTTACCGAGTTCTGCTTTGTTTTGTTGAAATTTGATGTGCTTGTCCAAAAGCTTAAGAGAACAGAGCCAACTCTTCTTTACTCTACGCTGCTCAAAAGCTCAAAAGATTAGGGTCTTATTATTTACTCAGTACCTTGGTCTAGACTCTAGAGATGGTGAATGAACGAATCCTTATGAATTTATTTTTAACAAACTTTGAAGGACAACACCCTAAGAAAGGCAAGTTTACAAGAATTAGGACAAATTTAACTAAATTTTTTATAGGGAGTATAAAACTAATCCGATAGAAATTCAGAGATATTAAGGATAAAATTTGTAAGGCTCCAATAACAAGTTTTAATTGAGAAACCATTATCATTGTTACTTCATATTTTATTATTGTTGCTATTGTTGGGAAGATTTCATACAATTATGAAGTACTAGTATAAGATTAAAATAATGTAGGTAAGGTAAAGTTCTGAAATATCCTATACAATCAATAACGAATGACGTTACTGAAAGTATTCCTTTTGCATGGATTTTTTTGGGCCTCTTTAACTTGATGATCAGATCTTTAGCATGGAACTATTATGTGACTGAATCTTCTTTAAAATTAGCATCCACCTTAACGTTACATTTTTGTCTATCTACCTATCTATCTATGACTAGGGTCTAGGGTAACCATGAGTTCATCAATGAAGATTTATAGTCTTAAAAATCCGGCTAGACCTCACAGTCCACACTAATTGAATGAACCAAATTTGATATTAGTTGAAATAACCTTGATCATAGATTTGTTATTAATTAGGAAAAAACAAATACTTTGTACAAACCTTCTCGATTTTTAGCAGTTTGGTTCAACTTATTTTTTTTTACCTTATTTTATTCAAACTTTAATTATCTATATTAAGTTTTCTTTGTATCATAACTTACATGTGAGCGTATTATCAAAACTTAATTTTGGTTGAATTTGCCTGAGCTTACTTTGCATAAAATCAGGCATGTCAATGTTTTATAATTAAATTGAAACAATCAGGCTTCATAATCGATAAAGCAAGTGCTTGTAAGTTGTAACCGACACATTTTACTCATTATGTAGATCTTATTTAAAATCTAAGAATAAAATCCTTATCTAGGGTGGATCTTGGTTATGGCGGGTAGAGGCTTGGGCTTCCTAAGTTTTTTCTTAGTTGTTGGTTATAAGTATTATGATATCTATTAACTATTGCTGGTTAATTATTGATATATTTGAACAAAAGGTTGGAGGATCAAATTTTAGTCCCCCTAATTATTTAGCCCAAGATCCGCCACTGTTCTTATCATACTAAAGTTCTTCATATCCACAATTTTTTGATCTAATTGATAAGAATTAAACAATAATGCACATTTGTATCAACTGGTTGGTAAAAACAATAAATACTGAGTATATGCATTGATGCATGCATGATTTTTTTTTTTTTGGACAATCCATGAAACAATTAATAAAAGCTTTAGAAATATAGATAGAATATCCTGTGTTTAGTGAATTGCGAGAGGTAGGAACCGGGAGTCAAAGATATGTGTAGTATGTAATTGTATATACTAGCAGTAGTAGGCCATGGTCCATGTACTGCCAATAAAACTCCTCTGTACCACAATTAATTCAAAGTGCAGTTGGCAACAGAAAAATTTATGAATCAGAATTGTGATGGGAGCATTGGTAGGAAATGAGAAGCAGCCAATTAATTTAAACCTCTTTTCTATTTTATTTTTTCTTTAATTGATTTCAACTATACTATTTACATACATACTTATTCGAGCAATTTTAGAGCGCGAGACCACTTTAAAAATAAAAATGCGTTATTTAAAATCAACTTCATTCGAGTGATCTAAGACAACAAACGAATTAATAAGTACAAACATAAGTACTTCCTATCTTTGGTTTTGTGACAAAAATAGAAAGTAAGTAGAATAGATGAATTTGTTTGCCTCCGAACGATCTAAGACAACAAACGAATTAATACGTACAAACATAAGTACTTTCTATTTTTGGTTTTGTGACAAAAATAGAAAGTAAGTAGAATAGATGCCTAAGGATAAGAGGAGTTATGCATAGAAATTTTAAACAACTTTATTTTGCATACATCCTCAATCTTCCTGAAATTTTTTAGCTACTTACTATATTAGATCAACCTAATACGACAACCACTATGTCTGTGAAGATTTTATAAACATTTTAGAAAACGTAAGAAGTATTTAAGAATACGGTTCAATATAAATTTTGCTTAAATTTATTATCTTGTTTAAATTTACCACATTTTTAAAATGTGGTTCAATTAGACTTTTTAATAAAATTTTTTAATCATTAATATCTTTAAATAATATTATAATAGTTAATTAGTATAGAGTAATTTAGTACCAGTAAATAAGTTAGATTTGTAGGAGAAAAAAAAACTACATACGGAATATATAATTGAAAATGAAAACTTTTGGTTTAATAAATGGTGTGAAAATTCATGTTTTTTTTTTTTTTTTTTTTTTTTTTTTTAAAATTGAAAATTCTACAACTTCCATAATTTTTTTACTTCGTATTTTTGTTTTTTTTTCTATGTTATTTTATTTATTGACAAAAATGAAAGGTAAAAAGAAAAGAAAAAAAAGGAGAAGGGGAGGATTTGTGGGGGCAATAAGGAGGCGACAAGCATGGGGTTGTCTTGTCAAATCAAGAAGCCCTTTTATTGGGCCATGACCCACTTTTCTTCTGCTCTTTTCCACATATTGCTCATCTTTGTCTTTCCCTCTTATGGTCTTATTTTCTTCCGTAACACCAACATTTTACTACGGAGTACTACTTACATAACTACATGTCACTCTAGTTATGGTGTAGTCTAGATGAAGTAATTTGATTTCAACGGTCTGTTTGATAGGCAGTAATAAATGATAGTAATGTAACAAAAAAAATGATGATATTTTCTCGATAAGTTTAATTTAAGCTAATGTTCAATATTATAGATAAGTTACATCAAATGATTATGTGGTTATTTTTCTTTTTGAAAGCTATTCGATACTAATTTTAGAGTAATAATAGAGTTTATGAGCATCGACGTATAATGTACCCTACAATGTAACGTAAGGAGTTATCGTCTACATTATCATTACCACCAGTTATTACGACCTTTCTAATCGAGCCAAAAGTGTCTCTTCTTTGAGTATCTCCCTATAGGCTATACCCGTCGAGCAGTCATCTTCATGCATGATGCATGCATAAATGGGGTCAACTTCATTCCGCAGAAATTTTGCAAACGTGCGGGTCCTGGTACTACCGGCCTGTATTAAAACTTGTTCATGTCTTATCACCAAGTAACACAAAATCTCATCTACTTGTAAACTTAGTCAAGTTGCATCCATATTTGGCATGGCAATATATTTGTGTTCATCTAATAGTAAGAAAAAGTAAATCAAAGTAGAGTATAAATGCTTATATACTTATTAATTATCGTGAAATCGTATCATGGTCTTAAAGATTATGAGTTCGATACCTACTAGTAGCTCAAGATCGTCTCTATTATATGGTAATTGGAGAGTATGCTTTCAAGGGTTTGAGAGATTTTTGAATTTTCTTTAGTGATCAACTTCTTTTGTTTCAAAGGTATGGAGTGAAGTGGACCATGTGATTGGACCTCAAATCTCTGTTATGACCCATAACAAAAAAAAAGTATGGAATTATTGGGCTTGTCAATGCGCTCTAAACCACATGCTACATAATGGACTTACTAATTGGATATGGGCTTTGCATAGTGCTACGGATGGGGCCTTGTGCAACAACTTCGCCTTTAGGCCTACCTTTACATAATGGGCCATTTCTAGCAGTAATGGTACTTCGTGTAATCGTGTATATCAAAAATTCAAAAGGCTTTGATTGCTGTAGTCAAAGCATTGTGAATTTATGATGCTAGTAATCTTCTTATATACTCCGTATATATACTTCCCCGTTTTAATAATATTGCAACAATTGAAATTTTATATTATTCATCACGCTTGTTTGACCACATATTATGATTTATACGTAAAGTAAAATATAGTCATGTGGGGTCTTGTTAGATTCGTCTCGTAAAATACTTTCACAATATCAACTGTTTTTTAATTTTTAACCTTAATATAATTATAGATATGTAGCATATAAAATGTGCTTTAGAATGCGTAATTTCGTTCTTGTTGCAATATTTGTGGAACAAAGGAGATATAGAGTATTTTTTTTGTTTGATTATTGTAAAATTAGTTAATAAAAATGTTCATCTAGATTAAAACTTATATTATCATTTACTTGAAAGACTGATGCTAAATCCAAGCTGGAAAGACAGCTTAAGTTGGGAGATTAGGACGATCTCATAAAAATAACTGTGTTTTTTTTTTGGCAATGAAAGTTATTGTGTTATTACGAAATATATAGTACGAAGTAATATTATTGGTCAATGGTACTATGATTACAATCTCTAATAAACAGAAATTTATGCTTATTTATCTAAAATTTTGTCATTATGTACTACAATAATCTAATTTATTTGAATGTTTATCTTTGAATAATACCATTGCTTTGTGCGGATTTACTCCATTTCCTGGGCTTATTAAGAGTATGTATATGAAGAATATGAAGTCAATTGTCAATGTCCAATTCAAATGGAACGCGCCATATCTCTCATATGGACCTTTTGATTTGTTGATAGGGAAGCACAAAATTGGACATGCGTTCAAGTTTAGCAACTTCAAATCACATATTTCAAAACTATAGCATGTATTGTTATGCTGTTAAATATGGATCTGGGCCGCACCCGCAACCAAGAGAGAGAGAGAGAGTCAATTTCACAAGTTTAAGGAGGTTTCATCCCGAAATCATATGACAATAGGAGAAGTAGTCCCTTAGCTTTATAAAGCGTTCAACTCTTTTTTGTTTTCTCAATGTGAACACTTACATATATTGTTTGGGAAGTTTATACTTTAACACTCCCCCTCACATGTAAGGACTCTTAAATTTTGTCTCATGTGATGTTACATGGGGTTAGAGCACATTATTTCACTTCCCCTCACATAGACCTACTTAATTTGGCCCAATATACTCATTACTTAAGCCATTAGAGGTCTCATTCCATAAGCTTGACTCTGATACCATAAAAAATTTATAATAACTAGATTTGTTTACCCTAGAACTAGAGGATTCACATCAGCTGTGTACTAGATTTATTTACTTTGGTCTAATTTGAAAAGATACCTCTAAATTTGGCTTAATAGTCGAAATTTCGAATTTTCTTAAGCAGAAGGGTTTAGCTTATTATTGTTTACTTTCTTATATATAAGGTAAACACAATTTGAATAATTAATTTGAGTAAGGAGTAATAAATAAAATACATTCATAATAACCATTAATACACATGGATTATTATTATTATTATTATTATTATTATTGCAAGCATAAAAAGCTAGGGAATACTGCCCTCCTTTTCAACTAGTTACAAACCCATGACCAAAAGTCCTAGAGGGGAGCTTCACAGATATTCATGAACCACACATACATAACATATAAATTATATAATACAACATTACAAACTTCACTAACAAGTAGATTGAGATTGTAGCAAGCTGGCTCAAGTGTGTGCCAAGCTAATTGTAGAACCTTGCAACTGCATAATTACCGGTAATCTCGGCCACAATCTTGCCTCCGAGAATTGGGTCAGTGTACTCGGCTTTGTTTCCAGAATGCTGGTCTAGTTTGACTTCAACAACGTTCCTATCAACTGGACCTATCGGCCCAGTTTCCACATAGATCTGTACAATATATAACATCCCGACTCACTTCAATATGTACACTCAGACTCAAACATATGCAACTTTAACACAGTAATATATATATGATACATTACCTTGCACATTGGGCCATGAACAGCAACGATGAATTTACGATTACTAGCCTGATCACCGTCAGTATAGGTGATTCCCCACTTGACACCTTCGGGAAGAGTCCCGGCCTGGCGCATTGCAACACCAGTATTAACCGGGAGGCCAGGAAAGTTAGTAAGTGTACGCCCGTGCCAAAAATGAGTATCCACCTTATCCACGCGGTGTTTGCTAAAGTTCTTGACATCGCTTGTCATTTGATATTCATCGCCGGCAGCACGAGTTTGTGTATCATATTTCTTGGCCTTAGCTTCCATATCAATTTCCACATCCTCCACAGTCACTACTTCTGCTGTGACGTTCATAGCAGCCATGATTTCTTCCTTCTCTTATATATCTTAGCCTACAACATAGTGCAATTAGGGTGCAATTAGCTAAATAAATCAAGTTACTCTTAGCAAGATTCGAGCACGGGCATGCAATGTGTAACATTCATACATTTTAAAACATAATATAACTAAAAAAGAATATTTTTTTTTTTAAAATATTTTTTGTGGGAAAGTTTATATAAGTTAAAGATTTGTCTAAACGAAACTGAAAGCAAAAATAAAAACATTATAGTCATCGTGCGCTGAATAATATAACATGTCATTTCTCGACAATTTACAAATCATGTATTACTCCGTAATAAATTAAAATCTCCACGGCCTATACTTAATACTACGTATCGACTAGCTATCAAGTGAGGTGAAAATCAATGCAAGTGGAGATTGCCTTAGCACAAATACTTGGTATTAAAAGCATAACTTTCCAAATTTAACAGAAAGATTATACCTGGTATTGCCTTAGCACAATTACAGAACAATTTTTAATGAAGAGGGAAGAAAGTGAGAGAAAGGGATTACCTTAAAATATTATCAAATAATGCAGGAGAGTTTTCTTGAGTTGTATTGTTAGAAAGTGTTTGGGCCTAGTCCATGTCCTAAGCCCAATGCATCCAAAATGACAAAAATACCCCTCCATGATTTAGCCCATCATTAATCATTACAAAGTATAGATTTGCCCCTAATCTGTCCACTCAAATACAAGTCTGCCATCTCAAAAGTACATCTATAAATTTGCTCATCATTCATTAATGATGGGAACTTTTTCCTAATTCTATCTCATTCTCTCTCTACTTTCAAGAAATGTCATAGATGCCAAATGTTTGTTGACGTCCCCCACCTCCCAGCCAACGCCCTCATAAGCATTCAATCAGTCTTACCCTTTGATCGGTGGGGCATTAATATCCTAGGGCCTTTCCTTGTGGCCTCAGGGTAAAGGAAGTTTTTGATAGTATCTGTTGATTATTTTACTAAGTGGGTTGAGGCCGAGACAATGGTCGACAATTCAACAGCAAGCCAACTAGAGTGTATTGTGGGCGATTTGGAATTCAAACAAGGTTCTCAGCTGTATGCCAACCCCAAACTAATGGGCAAGTTAAGGCAGCTAAAAAAATGATCTTGAAGGGGTTAAAGACAATGCTTGATGGTACGAAGGGTTCTTGGGTTGATGACCTACCCGGAATCTTATGGTCCATTCGTACCACTACCAAGGAAGCTACGGGGCAAACTCCTTTTACCTTAGTATATGGTAACGATGCTGTGCTTCCGGTGGAAGTTAAGATCCCATCCCCCAGGGTCACCTTTTATGATTATGCCCAAAACGATGAGTTGAAGCCTTTGACCTTAAACCTACTCCCAGAGATAAGAGGAGATGACCTGATTGCTCCATAGCATACAAGCAGAGGGTCACTCGTTATTACAATAATAGGGTCAAGGCTAAACCCCTGACTGAGGGTGATTGGGTACTCAAAAAATGCGAAGCTGCTTGCAAACCCCCTGCATTGGGAAAGCTGAGCCCAAATTGGGAGAGACCGGAAGTCATTCGCCCGGGGACCTTTCGCTTACTGACTTCTAATGGAAAGGATCTCCCTCGGCCATAGAATGCAGATAACCTACGAAGGTTCTATGTTTGAGCATGTCTTTCCCTTACAATGATGCCCAAGGGGCAATAAGAACCGACTCGAGGAGATTAATTTTTTTATAGTGCATCATTGTATTACATTTTGCTTTATTATAATATAATGAAGAACCTCCTCAGCTGGGATGTTAGCTCTCTACTTTTTGCATTCTTTGTTATTTTGTTACTTGTAATTTATTTCTTTATTTCATATCGCTTATTAGCATAGCCAACATACATCCAAAGTTGGATTCCCGGCATGGGGCATTCTAATTCACCGAGTTATCAATAACAAGTTTGTTCCAATGTTTGGGGCAAGATGCTAGCCTATACCCAAACACTTGAGATAGCGTCATAGCAAAGTCATTAATATAACTTGGGGCTCCTTTAGCCCTCAGCCTACCCCAAGAAAGGGATAGCGCAGCTATCGCATACTCAATAACTTAGGGCTCGTTTAGCCCTCAGCCTATCCCAAGAATTGGGATAACCCAACTCTCATACAACTTCTAAATTGGGGCCCGTTTTAGCCCCTAGCCTATCCCTACTGCCGGATAGCTTAAGTATCAGACATCTATAACTTGGGGCTCGTTTAGCCCCTCGACTCGTATAAAAATAACAAGATAGGGCCTCTCTCATGAATCAATAACACGGGGCTCGTTTAGCCCTCATCCTACTCTAAATGCGATAATAGCCCATAAAGTCCAACATTTCATAAGCATTGGACAAGATGCAAACACAACAAGGCAAAGCCGAGGACATGTGATTTCATCATATATCCAAAAGCTAAGTCGAGAGATAAACTGTTCATCAAGTAGGAGATCAAGTGTTACATGTTCAAATACATCTCAAAAACATAAAAAATACTACAAGTCTAAATATAGTCCAAGAAGATAAGAAAAGCAAAACAAATACAAGGAGCCAAGCCGGGGTAACTACTCATCAGGCTGGCCGGGCTGACCTTGCTCAGCTAAAGCCTTCTTCCGTGCTTCCGTCTCGGCCTCTGCCTATAACCTCAAGGCCTTTAAGACGGTCTCTAGATGGCTCTAAGCATCAGCAACACCGGCCTCAAAGGCCGCCTACCCCAGGCTGGCCTTAAGTTCATCAAAAGCCGGGGTCGCCTTCCACACAACAATCATCTCCTCCTGAGTCTGCTCCTGGGCCTGGGTGAGGCTTCTCACCTACTCCTGAGCCTCGACCAACACCTTCTTCACTTTTATCAGCTCAGTCCTCTTCTTCTTAAGCTCTTTGGTTGCCTTGTCCTCCTCCTTGGTTGTGGCATCAACATTTGCCTCAAGGGTCTTGATTCGAGCATCTCCAACCTCATTGGCATCAGCAAGACCTTTCTTGGCCTTATCCAGCCCCTCCTTGGCCAATTTGAAGTCCTCCTTTAACTGATGAATCTCATTTCTAGCCCCCGAAAGCTTGGTCCGAAGCTGTTCAACATCCTGCTGAGCGCTTCTACGATATTCCCCAACTAGCACCGCCATAG